AGCCACAGTGTGCCTCTAGTACTGTCACTGAGGATATTCTCTCAACAACAGCGGCCTTACTTAAACGTCCTGAATGAATAACGGTTTTCTGCTACATTTTATTGCGTTAGACTTTATGGTCCTGAACTTGTTTTAAGTAAAATCGTTCTTGTGTGACTTTCTCTGTGGTAGGAACGAGGGAGGTAACCATGATGTGTGTCCCTCCAAGTTGAGTATATATGAAACTATAATCAGTTAGCCAACGAATGCCTTATCCTAACTGAAGCCCTGGGTACCTCGTATTTCCCGGATGGTAGGACTGGACGCTCCTCCTCGCCTGGGACTCCTGGCTCCCCGGTTAGTGCGTGAGGCCTCTTGATCCGGTACCTGCGAGTCTGGGGCTTAGAATCTTGGAATCTCTTGTAAGTCTCTTGAACTTCTCGGTTTTATCCTCTTGATTTCACAAGCCGTGCTGTCTGCTGCCTGGGTGTATTCATCTTAGGTTACCTTCTCCCTGTGACCCATGCCATACTTCCTTGATTGAGACGTTTTGCGCTTGAAACCTGTAACGCCTCCGTGGAACCTTTGATTCTTTGTTTGGGTTGTGTGGTCTGGCGCCAGGAACTCCTTTCTTAAAGTATGTAAGAGAGGAAGGCTCCTCAGGTGGCGCGATGTGACTGAGGAAAGCTACTGAGGAGAACTTGCAGGTGTGGCGGGGCGGGTACAGTCTCTTATGGTCCGGGGCCGTCAAGCAACACGTTCCTGCTCCTCGACCACCCGTCTTTAAGGCGGTAACAGTGTGGTTTCCACAGTCGATAACCACGGGAGCGTCTACGGGGAGAGCCAGGCTCGGCGCCCTTACCATTCAACTGTGTCAGGCTGTGCTCTCGGCTTTTCCCCGTACTTTCAGTCAGTCTGCTCGAGCTTCTGGGCACCCACTTATCGGGGCCCTTAGTCTGTGAGCCAAATCTCAGACGATTACTCGAAGGCTTTCATCCAATTCTGCCTCATTCCTAGACTGTGGCATCCAGCTTTGCCCCGAACTTCTGCACTTCTATCACTCCAATAGTTATTACCACTCTTAGACTATTGCTCCCAGTTCGCGCGGCCCTTTATAGGAACAGCAAGCCCAGATCAATGTTTCATTCCCAGGCTGGGACCAAGGTAGAACTCACACAACAGGTTATGTGGAGCAGATCTGTACCTCCTCCCAAGATTGGACAATCCTGAAGGTTCCTGATCCACCTGGTCGACCTCATTGTCTCCTCCTCCTCCTCCCAGCTGGAGTAACAGGTAGTTAGCCTCGCCTCCACCCCCCCCCCCCTCCTTGTTTTGGTGTCGCGGGAGATTCCAACTTGCCCTCAGCGCATCCCCTCTCGCTCCCCCCGCGCCCTCTGCAGACTCAACCTCCTCCTCTAAGAGTCACTGTTACCCCCTCCCCCCAGCCTCCACCCTGCAGATCGATAGCAGCTCAGCCTGTCATCCACTGCCCATCATCTCCTGAAGTCCGATCTACGGACGCTCTCCTCGATAAGTACCACGTCTGCCGCTGCCGTTGCTGACGAGTGACAGCAACCTCAGCTCAAAAGAGGAGTCTGGGGCAGTTCAGCCAGTCCCCCCCCCCTCACCACCTCCGTCCCCGGTCCCCTTACTTTCGCCCAACAGCCTTCCTCCAACTCCCCCGTCACAAGATCTCTCCGCCAATCCCTCATTATAAACACTTAGGGTAAACGTTAGGTCCTCTTGTCATTGCCCTCGAGTCACCGCGATTCATTCTCCCCTTGACCTTTGACCTTCCGTACCGTAACATAACTGTTTCCCACATGCTTCCCAGATGCAATAATATAAGTTTCCCTTCCCCCCCCCCCCCCCTAGCCCCAACAAGAGCAACATCCACACTTTTCTCGTTCCCACCTACACCAGGCACCGCTGCGCTCTCTACACCAGCGCCCTGATTTTTGTGCAACTTTTCTCCTCAAACCCGTCTAAGTTCGTTGTCTTTATTATGCCTCGGCCTCGATTGCTCTCCCGGTCTCCTCGCGACACACTCTTCCTCAATATTTATCGCCTCGAACCCCGGCTGGCTCTCGGCGCCCCCCCCCCCCCCCACCTTGCCAGGAATTTCTCCTCTCTTCGTCTTCTCGATGCCTCTTCGTCTTGCAATTCTCTTTATTGCGTTTTATGTTCTGCCTTATTCTTCTTTCTCCATTTCTTCTTCGTCGGTCTGCTTTTTATTTCCTCGTCTCCTTCTTCGTCTTCTTCTTCTTCTTCTTCTTCTTCTTATGTATCTTCTTTATCTATGTCTTCTTTTTCGTGTTCTTTATTTATCATTGTAATTATTTGACAGAAATTTTTATTCTGTTATTATATTGTTTTTTATTATCGATATTATTATTATTATTATTATTATTATTATTATTATTGTTATTATTATTATTATTTTTATTATTATTATTATTATTATTATTATTATTATTATTATTATTATCACCATCATCATTATCACTGATATTATTATTGTTATTATTGTTAGTTATTATTTCTATTATTATATTTATTATTTTTATTGTTATTAGCATTATTATTACTATTATTATCATTATTGTTATTGGTATTATAACTAGCATGATTTTATTTTACTGCCATTGTTATTATTATTGTTGGTGGTGTTTTTGTTGCTTGTTTTTAGTTGTTTTGTTTATTTTCCTTTTCTGCGATATGTTAATCTAATTCCGAGTCTCGTATTATTGTTATTTTTATGTTTCATTGTTAACGTTATAACTCGTTTGTAAATAAAACTTCATTTAGTTTTTTATGTATCTTAACTTGTTTCTTTTTTCTTCGTTGCGAGGTTTCAGACCCTCGTTTCACTTGTCATTCTACTGCCCTACTCACTTTTTTTAAACAAGTGTTGTCTTTGAACGTTGTGGTTTGCATTCTCTCTCTCTCTCTCCCTCTCTCTCTCTCTCTCTCTCTCTCTCTCTCTCTCTCTCTCTCTCTCTCTCTCTCTCTCTCTCTCTCTCTCTCTCTCTCTCTCTCTTTCTCTCTCTTTCTCTCTCTTTCTCTCTCTTTCTCTCTCTTTCTCTCTCTTTCTCTTTCTTTCTCTCTCATTCACACATACATGCACACACACACACACACACACATACAAACACGTGCGCGTGTACTTACATACCCATTTTCTGAACTTTCATCATTTCCTTTTTATCCCAGCTAAGCAACCACACCCACATTCATTCCCGCAAACTCACTCTCAGCATAAACACTCGGGGAAAATATTTATTAAACATTTTTTCCCTTTTTTTTTTTTTGAAGGGGGGAGGTCGGTTTGTTCTTCCGGGCGTCATCGGGACACATGGACTCCACGTAGCGATCAAGGACTGAATCAAATGACGAAAACATTTCCTCCAAGTGAATGGCGAGAGACCCAGACACAACCTCTGCATGTTTCCTCTAGTGTATCCTGGCCTCCCTTGCTTAGTCTCCCTCCCCCCCTCCCTCCATTGCCTCCATTCTCCCTCCCCCCTCCCCCCTTCTCCGCCCCAGGCCTTTCAAGATCGCATGTAACCTCTCCCCCCCACTCTCCCTTCACCCCGCCCTCGCCCCCACCAGGTGACTGCTGCAGGAGAGCGTAG